AGGTTATTAACCCGGTACTGGGTCTAATCTTGCACCCTCAAAGCCAGCGGGGGGTTTGTAATGGATCTGGACAGGGCTGCTACAGTCCCATCGTGGGTGTGGTTGCAATGAAACTCCACTGGCGCTGCTGGGGAAGTGGCTGGCTTCGCTCCGCTGCTGTGGAATTTCGCTCCTTGTGTGCTGGAGACGTTTCAGCACAGGATCACCAACCAGCGAGGCAGGCGTAGGTCATGGGCGGCGGGTGTGTGAGGCAGGGGAAGGCGTTGCCAGGCAGGCAGTTTGGAAAGGCCCCACCCACACTCCACCCCCACAACCCCTACTCCAGGTGTACTGGGGCGGAGTGTTGCTGCCTCCGAGTGCCCGCCCTCCTTGTGCTCTGGGACTGGGGAGGCTGAGGCCACATGCTGCTCTGCCTCCCTGTGGTGTTGGGGGTTTGGGGGTTTGGCTTCTTTGGGGGTTGGGTAGAAGGGGAGGGGCTGGGGCCTTGCCATCCCCAGCCCTACCTTCACTTACCTTGGTGGGGGAGGGATAGCTCAGTGGGTGGAGCATTGGCCTGCTAAACCCAGGCTTGTGAGTTCAATCCTTGCAGAGGTCATTTAGGGATTTGGGGCAAAAAATTGTCAGGGATGGTACTTGGTCCTGCTGTGAGGGCAGGGGACTGGACTCAATGACCTTTCAAGGTCCCTTCCTGTTCTAGGAGATAGGCAATCTCCATCAATATTTAAGAATACCACCCATGGCAAGATGCTGTATTCCAAAGAGATTCTCTCTCAAACTAGACATAACTTGGAAGCAGAGGAGACTGTTCTAACACATGGGCATCTTGATAGAAGTGCCAGATCGCCTGCACCAAATTCAGCTAGCAGGTCTATGGAGCTGAATTAGAGCCTGTTGCGTCTACACGCTGAAACAGAGACATGATTCCTTTTGATCTGGTGCCTTCATACAGCACTAGTGGAGCTGACTGGTCTGATTTCGAGTTCATGCCCTTGTGAAAGAGGCAAACAGTTCTCTTTAAACTCTCTGCCAACCCAGATTTTCTCTAGAGAATCAAGTGGCGCTGACACACACAGCATTTCGTCGGAGAGCAATTTGGCTCTTCAGTAAAATCTGGAAGAAATCCAAAGCGCACTGACTCATAAGTTCAGGGCTTTGTCTGTGTCGACGTGTAGAAGAATTCTACGGAGAGCGGGAATAAAGATAAAAGAACCTGAAAAGACCGTTTCCTGTCACGTTCTCAAGCAAGCGTTGATTTTTCAAAGTTTAACTTGAGTCTGAGCATTAGACTAGGCAGGTCCCTGGGGAGCTGAAATCAGATGCAACGTTGAACTCTGCCTCTGACACCAGATTACAAAAATGTGTATTAATCAATTGTACATCACTTCAGGTGCCCCAACACTAGCCTGGGAGTATATTCGCTTTGAACGTTTACACTTTGTTTTTTAATGAAAAGAGCAGCCTAATTCTTAATTAAGATGACTAGGCAGATGCAGGTTTTATTGAATTTAAATATTTATTGAATTTGCGTAATCTTTCAAAATGGATTAGACTTTGAATGAGAAAGTTAATATCATTTGGGTGATAATTTATCTGCTGAATCCACTTAGGAAACCAATCGGGGATTAGTTAAAAAGTTACCGGAGTTGGGAACTATTCTCAAAAGCTGTGTGGGAATATATTGCGGTTCCTCTCACTCGAATGTATACGCCAGACCTGGGACTCAGTGCACCAGAGAGAGGCAAAAGATACAGAAGTTCCTGATTCTGCAACCCCTTTCATGCTCCCACGGAAGCGTGTGACTGGTCTCTCTGAAGGCTGCCGGGCGATGGGTTAGGAATGGATGTCGGTGTTTGCAGGAGAGGTGCCCAAGCCCAAACCATACTGTTGTGCGGGGCTAAGGCCACTCCGAGCTGCAAAGGAAATGTTGCCTCTGAGCTCCATCACGTGTGCTGAGAATCCAGAGGCACTAGGGAACCGTGAGTGAGAGACAATTGGCGTCATTGACTTCCCATTGGCGTCAATGACCATTTTGATCAAAAGTGACAGCCCAGTCTGACCCTTTCTGTATACGACTCAATCTGTACTCTACTGTGGTCAAGGGTCAGCACCCATTTCAGACCTGGTCCCTTTTGAACTATAAGCTGAAGGTATTTTCAGGTCTTCCACCTACTTGGGACAATTTTTGTGGTTTTATCCTAGGACACTAAAACTGGAAGGGACCTTGAGAGGTCATTGAGTCCAGTCCCCATCTCCATGGCAGAACCAAGCACCATCTAGACCAGCGGTTCTCAACGTTTTGGGCTCCGGAGCCCTTTACATGCGTAAAAATGTATGCGGAGCCCCAGCGGTCCACTGATTGTATGTGTTGTACCTATCGATGTTTCCAGTTTGTCAACCTCGCGGAGCCCCTGGAGATGTCTCGTGGAGCCCCAGGGGCTCTGCGGATCACAGTTTGAGAAACACTGGTCTAGCCCATCCCTGACAGGTCCAACCTGCTCTTCACTATCTCCAGTGACGGAGATTCCACAAACCTACGGTCCCATGTACAATGCCATTTTCCTACTGTTCTGTGTGGCTTTCTGGCTCGGTTGTTGTAAGAAACCCAGGCAGGTATCAGAGGTATTGGCCTAGCTCTTCAGGGAAGCCAGCTGGACATGCGGTGCTGTCACGTGCATGAAGGACATGAGCAGGACTAATGAAAACCATCACTGCTTCAGCAGTGCGGAGCCTGTGGCAGCATGCCTCCCAGCCTAGGCTAGCGGGGCTCACGCTCCATCTCTAAAATACCATGTAGAAGTGCCCTGGGAGGCTACTCTTGTGCTTAGCTCGGCTTGGTTCCTCTGAATGTTTGACAGCACCTTGAAAAATGTTGGCTTCAAAGCCCAACCCCTTCCCCTCACTAAGCTTCAGGGATCCCAGTTCCCGCCAAAGCGATTTCTTCACTGCTTCATGTGCCCAGCTAGCTGCTGTGAGGGCGTCCACACAACCCGTGCCAGCCTGAGACTGGACCGGGCAAGGAGGTTGCTCCTACAGGCTCCGGTGCTGCTTGGGTCAGGGCCTCACGAGAATGAGTTCAGACGGGAGCAGGATTGGGGATGCAGAGGGGAAGCTGCTTGTGGTGTCTCTTCTGTAATCTGTACCCCCCCCCCCAAAGGTCCTACACCTGCCCCTTGAGCGTAATTTGCCAGGGGCAAGAGACGTTGCTCCGTTTCCAGGAATGGATGAATCTCTCTGGGGCATGGTGAATAATGCTCCCTTCTGGTCTTAACATCTGTGGCTGGAGTCTCTGGTCTGACCACTTGGTGTGGTGCGGCTTCTGACCGGAGGGGAAGACGGGGGCCGCGCCCAGGCACGGAGCGGGAGGGGCTGGAGGAGAGGGGAAGGCAGACGCTGTGACTCCAGGAAGGTGAAGAAGGCAGGTTGATATTCAGGGCCCAGTGAGGTGCCCAGAGAAACAAGTCGCCAAACCTCAAGCCAGTAGAAGCAAGACCAAGCTTTCAGTTTGCTTCCATTTTCCTCGGGGTCCATTTTGATGGCTCTACTGCCTAATGGGAGAGGCTGTCTCAGACTGCTAGGAATGAGGGGACAAGGGCCTGCACATCTCAGCATGAAAGAGAGAAATCTCTGGGCTTCGGGTGAATGCCAATGCCTTTTGCCTCTGCTTTATACTCTAGTGCTTTGAGGGAGTAGCTTATGATAATGTCTGTTGTCAGTTTTGTGCACTATGTTTCATGTTGGAACACTGTGGGCATTTATTTTCTTAGCACCATTACATTTCACTTCTTGCTTACCTGCGTGCTCTGTTTGGTTGGTCCATGTATGTACTGTGTCTCAGCCTTTGTGAATTCATCTCTATTGCCCCAGCTGTGTTCCCCAGCAGAGTTCATACTTTTGGAATTGTACTCCTGAAAAGTCATTGTCTGTAGGATACAGTGGAGCATCCTCTGGGAATGCCAAGAGCAGGTGTCGGGGTTAGGGACAGGTAGAGGGGATGTCAGGGTTAGGGCAGGCGGGTGTGTCAGGGTTAGGACAGGAGGGTGGCTGGCTATAGTGTTGAGGGTGGGGACAGGCAGGGGTGTTCTGCATTTAATTCCAGTAATGACTGAGAAGTGTTTTTGAACTGGCTGGCTTTTCAGGCTTTCTAGACAGTCAGGGTCTGGATTTACTCCAGGTCTCTCCACAGCTACATCCCCTTGCAGTCATTCAGGACAGCGATACAGTAAATTCCAGATTCACTGGTGTGGCGTCCTGACAGGTCTCCTGCTGCATCAGTGATGATAAACATTCAGCTGTGCACGTTTCTGTAGGCTCCCTCAGTGTATCACGCCAGCTCTGCACAGGTAGCTAGCATCAGAGAGTTCACGAGAGCCCCCAAAGACCACAGACTCAGATAAGACACGAAGGCGCTGAGTCAGGTTTATTGTCGAATGAAGCACATTACTAGGTGTCGGTAGCCTGATGGCCTCCGAGTCCCTATATATTTGTACTCACCCGGCTCAGTTGATTTCACTGTCGCCCCTAGGCCAGACAAGGAGGTAAGTGAGGAACCCCAATATTTATAGACAGAAATGTTTGATCTACATTATGCACCGTATGGATCATCTTACGCACCAATGACACACTTGGTGCCTCTCCTTGAATTGTCCTCCAAAGCCTTCGCTGCCCCTTGTTCTGCTTTCACTCCTGTTGTTTCCAACTATTTATCACGTACTCAGCTGGGTGTCCCTGCACTGTCCGGATGGAACGTATTTACCTGTTCCCTGGGCACCTATCTGTGCCGGCAGTTCTAATGCCGAGACACGGACTGGCAGGCAAACGTCTGCTGTGACACGGCCTGTCTGTCACTCACAGCAGAACTCTTGCTCCCTTTGGTCCAAGCACCAGACCCCTGCTTCAGACTCCTTCTTTCCCCTGCACCCCTCACTTGCATTGATGAGTCTGGAGTCCATAGTGGGGCACATGAACACTGTGTTGAGTTTTTCTCTCTCTCTTTTTTTAAGGTCGCCCTGGTGGTATTTTAATTCACCCCATCATATGGAGTTCTGCCCCAAGCCAGCCACAGACAACGAGTTTCACCAGAGAAATGCTGTCACAGGTATGTTACAAGAGAGCGAGTCCGTACTCGCTTTGTGCACTGCTTTTGCACACTGGCCTGGCGCTCTCTGGCCCGGTAATATCCGTGGTCCTGCAGGATTTTAGTTCGCCAGATTTTCACTTAGCATGGGGGTGGCCAAGTTTCCTGCTGTCCCATAAAGTTTGTTTGCAGCCCCAGTCCTGGCTTTCAGTTCTCTGTGCTGCTATTTAGCTCTAACTTACCCCAACTGTCTCTCAGAGCCCAGTGGCAGTGCTGGTAATGCTGCTAGACAATACCGAACTCCCGTGGTCTGGCAAATTCTCTGGTTGGGCCCTGGCCAGGGCCTGAGGATGCCAGCCTAGAGAGGTACTCCAGCATAGACCCTTATTGTGAGAGCTGCTGTGGAGGCAAACCTGCAGCAGTCCCTAGCTTGCTTATCTGTCTGAGCCAGGAGGCCTCGTAGCACAGAGGAATGGGAAGCAGGACCCAGGGAAGAGGTGATGAAGAAGCATTCATTCCATTCCAAGGTAACTTCCCCTCACCTCCGGCCCCCAGCAGATCTAGGGCCTTCTAATCGAGCGCCAGCCCCCCAGATGCTCCAGGCAGTCGGGAGGGCTCTCGACAAAGAACAGACTCGTCCGTGGTGGGACGTCAGCCCTGGGGTGTCTGTCACTGCCCGGGGCAGACCAGTGCCGCGTCTTCCCGTGACAGCAGCCGCCCCTGATGGAGGGCGATTGCGAGGCTGTGATGGTGGGTTGCTTGGGACCGGGCTGGTTTGGTCGTTGTTGTTTCTTAGCTAGTGTCCGCTCACTGAGAAGCCGTAGGCTGAGCCCTGACTGACCAAATAGCAGAGTCTGGCAGAGCAAGACTGAAGGAGGGAGGCCGAGAAAGGGCCGTCCTAGCCGGGTTGGGATGCTTTGAAGGAAGATGCGCTAGCACAGGTGTGACAGGAGAGCTTGCACTGGGCAGAGCACTGTGGAGGGAAAGGATCCTAGAACAGCCCCTGGGAGCTGGAGGGAACACAAGAAGGAAGAACAGCTCCCATGTGAGCAGGCCGGGGTGTCCCTGTCAGGTGGCTGTTAAGGAACTGCTTAGAAACGTTTATTTGAGTAACGACTTCATTAGCATTTATTGCTTTGGACTCCTTGCCCTCTTTAATGAACCCCAGCGTGGCCCATGTTTTACACTGGCGCGTGCTTTGCCCACAGGTGGTGTTTTCACACCGCTCCCGGTAAGCCACACAAAGGGCAGGCTCCACGCAGCTTGAGCGAGTGAGAGGAGCATCCGGGTGTGAGCGGTGGGAGCAAGGCTGCCGGGGAGGCTTACGTGGGGAAGAAGCCACACGCGGGTGTCGGTGCAGAACATGACTTAGCGTTCTGTGCACAAGGCCTGTCTGTGACCTGACCAACACTCTGGCGAAGTTCTCACCCGCGTCATTCAGGAAGGTTCATCACAGTAGCCCCGAGGGCCATGTGCCATTTCTGGTTCCTTTCCTCTTCCTCCAGAGGAATGAACCTCACTGGCGCATCCTCTCCCGTGTCTCTGCCTTGCCACTGCAGGGGGGAGCTTCCCCCGGCCGCCTGAGCCTCTCCCGGGAGAGAAATGAAGCAGAAAAGCAATTGGCGGGGGAGACTCGTGCTCCCCCAGTGTCTGTGCAGCCCTCGTGGTGTCCTGCTGTGGCTGGTGGGGGCTGCGCAGCGTGAGGACTGCCCGTGCAGGGAAGGAGGGTGGGACAGGAGGAGGGGCGACTCCCTTCACTGCGGTGGCCAGGAGCAGTCCCTGGGAAGGGAGCGGCATCGCCAGGAGCACAGAGCCCCTGCAGCAGAGGGAGGGGAGCAAACCCTGTTCCCCTGCAGAGTCCAAGGGGAGAGCGATTCCTGCCTGTGGGTCTCAGGGAAGGAAGATGCAGCCTGGCTCACGGGAAGAGAGCCCTGCCCTCGCGCCTCTGTGCGCGGCACCAAGAGGGGGCGTTGGGAGGCGCACTGCCAGCAGGAGGATTTGAGATGCCGTGTGTGGAGGCGGTCCTAGGTCGTTACCAAACACACTTGATTAGCTTGTTAAATTCTCCTTTTTATGGAGCTGCTTTCATTAGGGCTTTTGATTATTAGCTTAATTTCAGCCTCAGTGGACGTGACATTCATGTTGCATCTTCAGCTTTCTTTCATGTTCAAGTTGTACCGGCCAGCAACATTTCTCGGGTCATTACACCAACTTTACTGGGGCTGCAACAAGATTGAGAGTCACGGTGATTCAGGGCAGTATGAGTTGCACACCTGGCTGTCACGAAATGATCGCAAAATGGGCTTTTGAATGAGGGTCACTGGGCAGTTCATTTTCTTCCTGTCAGGAAGGAGGGAGCTATTTTTCTACCTTTTCCATTCCAAATAATTCATATTAGAAAAACCGTTTCCCTAGGCGGGTGGGAAAGCACTGGGCTGGGTTCCCTAGGGTGGGGTGGAATCTCCATCTCTTGAGGTTTTTAAGTCCCAGCTTGACACAGCCCTGGTCGGGTTGGTTTAGTTGTGGCTGGTCCTGCTTTGGGCAGGGGGCTGGACTCGACGACTCCTGAGGTCTCTTCCTGCCCAAGGGTTCTAGGAGTCTGATTCTAATTGCTCAGTGACAGTTGTTCTCCCTGCCCTGTGCCTGATCCACAGAGCGTGGGAGGCCGTAGTACCGGCTGCAGCCTGCCTCGTTACCCCAGGCTGGAGGAAGGCGGCTTTCATTCCCGCTGACTGCATGGGCAGCGCTAGTTGTAACTATGAAGCGCTGTCAGACGTGCCTCCCCACACACCTTGCCCTGCTGATGCTCGGAGAAAAATCCCTTTGCGGGTCTGGGAAGATACATTTTAACAGCCTGTGCATGGGGACCTGGCAGCACCTTCTTTTCCTCCAGACAGGACAAGTGTCACCTGAGTGTGTGAATCATGCCAGAGTGGTTGCCTCATCTCCAAACCCCTAACCCTAGCCCTTGGCTTTTCATTCTAGTCCTGAGTTGAAAATAATGCTGGGTTGGCGGATGTGACCTGTAAATGGAGCTGCCATGTTGCTGGCCTTCCCATAGCACAGATCAGTTCTGTACTCTTTGTATGGGCACTGGGTAGTGACCCACGCTGGGACGGGACCCCACCGTGCCAGGCACTGTACAGACAAGCTCCAGGAGACAGCCTCTGCCCCAGGCAGCTGGAAGTCTGAGTGTGCAGGACAGACAGAGGGGAGCAGAGAGAACATGGAACCAAAGTGAACGGTGCCACGGTGCACAGGTCTCCCGGGAGAGCCGGGGCGTTACTCGTTAGCTGGTTTTGTTTTCCATCCTCGCTCTGTAACCGGACACGGAAACCCTGTGCGAGTGCCCGCAAATCGCGGCATGCTGTACGACTGCGTTGGCTCCCACTTGGCCGGTGTTGGCTGGAAGTTGAGTGCAGCCCTGGAGACGTTTGGCTGGTGCTGGCCGAGAGGAGAGATGCCTGGCAGAAAGCACCAGTTACCACATATGGGAGAATGGAGGTACGCTGGGCATAGCGCCAATAAGCCCTGAGCAGGGATGCTAGAGTGCAGAGCTCTGAGGTGGCTAATCTCAGACCGTCACGCCCCTTTTCCCCAGCTGAGACCATTGCCCTTTCCAGCAGCTGCCTTTCTTTTGTCACTTCTCTTTGAATTAGCCGGCCAAAGGTGTGTTTCCTCCTTTTGTCCCACAAGTGTCGTCCCCCGACCCCAAATTTCCCTGTCAGGCGTCTGTCCAACCTGCTCTTACATATCTCCAGTGATGGAGATCCCGCAACCTCCCTGACAGGTAGGAAGTTTGACACCAAATGAAATTAATGGGTAGCAGGTTTAAAACTAATAAAAGAAAGTTCTTCTTCACACAGCGTGTAGTCAACCTGTGGAACTCCTTGCCAGAGGAGGCTGTGAAGGCTAGGACTATAACAGAGTTTAAAGAGAAGCTAGATAATTTCATGGAGGTTAGGTCCATAAAAGGCTATTAGCCAGGGGATAAAATGGTGTCCTTGGCCTCTCTTTGTCAGAGGCTGGAGAGGGATGGCAGGAGACAAATC